AACCAATTCCTGTAATCCATAGGTTTGGATCCCATCTAGCCTTTGGAGTTTTCCTTTGATATCTAATGCAGCTTGGTCTATGAATGCCATAGCTACGGTAGCCTTATGTTCTAGGGCCTCTGGATCGAATGGGGTATACATTCGGAACCCTTCCAGAAGCCTTTCCATGAAGGCTGCCGGGCTTTCGTCACTTTCCTGAGTTATGGTCCTTACCTTGGCCAAATTTGTGGGGCGCTTTCCTGCTCCTTTGAGACCCGCCAACAGAGCCTGGCGATAGATTCGGAGGCTCTCCCTACCTGGTGCCGTTTCATAGTCCTAGTCCGGGCGGGTGAGGGGAAATCCCTCGTCTATTTCATTGGGAAGTTGGGTTGGGAGGCCTCCTGGTCCTGGCACATTTTTCCGGGCCTCCAGGAGGACTCGCTGCCTTTCTTCAGTGGTTAGGAGGACCTGCAAGAGTTGCTGGCAATCATCCCAAGTGGGCTGGTGAGTGAGGAGAATGGATTCTATCAACGAGGTTAGGGCCTGGGGGTCTTGGGAAAAGGAAGGGTTATGGGTTTTCCAGTTGTAGAGGTCAGAGGCAGAGAAGGGCCAGTACTGGACCGTGCGATTGACGGTACAGAGGGGAAAAAGGGAGGATTGCCAAGTGGAAGGGCCATCTGGGTCCTCAGTCCGCCGCAAGCGGAGACGAGGAGGTGTCGGTGGCGGCGTCCGAGGGGTGAGTTTGGGCGGGGCTGGAGAAGGAGACGGGGTGGAGGGAGGGGCCGAGGGAGAAGTTGGAGAAAGGGTAGGGGCCGAGGAGGTAGAGGAAAGAGCTGGGGACAAGACAGGGGGCAAGGGTGAAGCGTAAGGTGGAGGTCTCAGAAGGGGGTTTTGAGGTGGAGGAGACAGGGGGTCAAGAAGGAGGAGATCCCTCTGGGGTTCATCTGGGAGGACTGGCTTATGTGGGTCCGGATTCCGATTCTTCGGGGCTTCTAAGGCAAGGAGGGTAGATTGGGATGGGGAAGGGGAATGGAGGAAGGGTTTCACCCAAGAGGGAGGACTTCGGACCAGATCCTCCCAAGTAATTATGTAGGCCACCTGGTCTGGGTGTCCGAGTGGCCCAGGATCCATCACTTTTGCTTTAACCTGCAAGATAATTGAGAGGTTAAATGTTCCGTCCCGGGGCCACTCTCCATGGAGGGTTGGCCATTCGGACGAGCAGAATGTTTTCCATTGTCCCTTACGGACTTCTACAGAGAGGTGGTGGGCTCGAGCCCGGACGTCAGGGAAGTGAGTCAGGGTCAGAGACAAAGGAGTCATCAATGTTTGTCCCATTTCGTCCACGTATAACAAGGACAAAACGAAAGTAACAAAAACAAAGACCAGACAAGTAAGGAGAAGCCGCGCGGCCAGAGAGTGGCGTCACAAGATCACAAAATATTCAGACGGCAGGGGCGACCTGCCTACAGATTTAAGGAGGCTGACTGAGTCGTCAGCCTTCTCCCAGACTACCACCAGGGCGTCCCCCGGGGCGTAAGTGGGAAGGTGCCGGACACGTCTGTCCCCCTTCCCCACTTAATTCAGAAGGAGTACTCCCCAGAGTTCAGAGTTAGCCGGCAAGACAGACAGAACAAAACGAAAGTACCTGGTAGGTCCGTTCAGTCAGCAGTCCGTGGCCCCGGCCAGATGGGTCTCTGCCAGATGGGTCGGGGGTCCTCGGACGACCCCACTTCCCGGCCAATGCACCAAATGTTGGAACTGAACTGTCGATTCCCTCCTGGGCAGGGGTCGCCGCGAAGGATCACCGACACGAGATTCACAGCAGAGAGTTATTTATTACTAGCGTGTTAGGGTCCCAAGCTCTAAGTTGGCCCTGGGACCCCGAGTGCTTGTTACAGGTTGTTTATATAGGCAAACACAAGTTCAAACACAGCTTAGGGCGTGAAATTCAAACAAAGCTTTAGGCGCGTGGTAATTGGGTCTGTCTATGGCCTGAGCAAGGTATCTTGTTCCGATTGGTTGGGGCGGGACCTTAGGAGGTTCTTTCCTGGAATTGCTGATTCCAGGAACATCGGGGACATTGAGTCAGGGTGGGACCCCATGAGGCTATCAGGGTGGGACCCCATGAGGCTATTTCCCAGAATTGTCTTTCTGTTTGGGTTCTGGGAACATCGGGGGGCTATCCGTGGCCATCTGGGGTTTAAGTTTCATGATGGCCAAGCTTTCTAAATTTTATGAGGCTTAGGAATTATGAGGCCTAGTTTCAGTAGAGATGCCTTCTCTCCATGTAGAGACCTGGCGCCCAAACAGGACAGAGCAGAGAGAGCCAAAGAGCCCAAAACATGTCTCAGATGATGAAAGACATTTTCACAGGACAATCCTGCTGATGACATTTGGTCCTTCATATTACACACCTAACTACCCTTCTCCCCAGATCTGCCGAGTACGCAGGATATCACACATCCCAGCATCTTCTAACAAGGAAAAATCTTCGCGTAACAGCCTCCTTCCTGAACCATATTGACTAGCCTTGGAAACTTAGCCTTTCCAGAAAAAAGCTCTGTCTTCTCCTGGCCCAGTCTAGCCCAGTAGGCTTAATTGACGATTTATGTCACCTTTTAATTTACTCAGAGAAGAACATATGATTTCAGAGTAAGGGATATTCATTTTACTTTGTATAAGTTGGACCTAAACAGTAAACTGAGTACTTTTCTTCCATCAGTGTCTTAAATTGGACAATGGTAAAACAAATCTTTGATGCTAGAAATTTAGGCCCTAGTATTTTTCATATTGAAGTTGCCAGTGTCCTGGGCGCAGAATAGATGGGCGTTAATAAGTCACACTATGCCAGAGATGGTTTTCTATGGGTTTATAGACTAGTATTCTCCCATTGAGGAAGCATAAGAGCGTTTGCTTCTTCAAGCTCATTTGTCAGTTTGTATGGGAATTTCCAGTTTGAAATAAGTTATGCTTTTAAATTTGAAAGAGTGTGAAGTCAGGCCGGGTGCGGTGGCTCATGCCTGTAATCCCAGCACTTTGGGAGGCCGAGGCAGGCTGATCACAAGGTCCACCTGGCCAATATGGTGAAACCCTGTCTCTACTAAAAATACAAAAAAATTAGCCAGGTGTGGTGGCGGCACCTGTAGTCCCAGCTACTTGGGAGGCTGAGCCAGGAGAATTGCTTGAACCTGGGAGGTGGAGGTTAACATGAACCAAGATTACGACAGTGCACTCCAACCTGGACAACATAACAAGATTCTGTCTAAAAAAAAAAGAAAGAGTCTGAAGTCTGCAAATATAATATAATTCCAATATCTCCAATATCTAAGTTATTTTTTGAAGTTTTGGATTTCAGAAAAAAAAGGAAAAGGTTTGGCCATTTTTATATTTAAGATCTATGTGTATATATGTGTGTATGTATATATATGTGCACACACATACATACAAATGTATACACACACAGAGATGCGTGTGTGTGTGTGTTTGTGTGTATATATATACATGTAATATCCCTTGGAAGAAAATGTCATGATGACTACATGGCTTAATGGGATTTATTTATGAAGAGAGTTTTTCTAAAAAGAATCAGAAAATTTGAATTCTATTCTAAATCTTTACTTGGGACTTCCCAGAGAGCATTTCTGACCCTACCAACCTACGTTGTGGGTGTATTTGGCAGCCCGGAGTGCAGCAGACAGTTCTTGGGCCCATACCTTTGCGAGTTAGCCTGGAGATCCCTGTAAACATGACAGACTCTTGGTGTTGTTCACTCTCAGTCCGGTCCTCTCTGGAATGCCACAGACGACCATCAAACAAACAGATTCCCAGTAAGAAGAATATTAGGACATAGCCATGAGGAAACATGAACACAAACAACAAATGTTTGAAGTGCAAACCTGAAGACTGTAAATTTTGGCATTATAAGATATGAAAGTTTGGAGAGCTACATTTAAATGAACACGAGGGGAAACTGAAACAAGAAAAAAGAGAATGTCTGAAACCATCAAGTAACTTTCATAAAAATTGTCAAATAATATATCTAGAAATGCCTCATACAATCACTGAAAACAAAATGGAAAGTCAAACAGTTGATCAGCTCCTCCTAAAGAGATTTTTAGTGATGTCAAAGATGGATCTGCAGGAGTGATCTGGAATGCAGCATGGAAAATTAAAAGTGAAATATGAAAGACAATAAGAACAGGGAAGAAAAAAATGGATATTTCCCATATATTAGAATATGCATATTTTTCATTATTTCCCATTTTGAATTGCATATGATTGCAGTTCCAAACAGATAAAATAGGTGGAATGTTATGAGGTGAGATTTATGAGATGTTAGCTGACAATTCTTTAGAGGTGTTTAAGGACCCAAATTCAGAGTTTCCAGAATCAAAATGAATCTCAAGTAAGACAAATAGTCAAGTCATAGGGAAATTGTAGAACATGAGATACAAAGGGAAGACTTTGAAAGCAATCAGAAAGAAAAGAGAAATACCTCCCATAAGAATAGATGGAGAACAAGAGTAAGTCAAGATAGTGGTTAAAAATAACAATTCGCTCAATTGTCATTCTCCTTCCTTTAAGGTAACATTGATTGAAAATACTTATTTAAGTGGAATATGAAAAAAGACCGCTGTGAGTTTCTATCAAGGTACCTTTTCTGAATTACAGTTAACAAAGGTGGGAAGTGATCCCAGAAGAAAGGCATGAGGGCAGTTCTTGAGGGAACCCATGCGATGGAACAGTCCCGTTGGGCACGTGTGACTGGAGGAATGAGGGAGGCTGGGTCATGAATGTGGATGGCACAGGAGACCTTGACTTGCAGGAAAGACAATGAGCTCACCCCTTTGTGCCCTATGTTAGGGGATGCTGTTGGTGCATCCTACGGGACGTGCCCAGCAGACAGAAGAGCAGCTGTGGGATGAGAAGATGAACTCAGAGATGCAGCGTGAGGCCTCTGGGTCCAGACAGCTCTGGAGGCCAAAGCGATGAGCCATGCATTGATGTTAAAATGGAGCTTATAAATATTTGAAGCCTCACCCAAGTGTGTTTTAATATAAATGCTGTGACCCTGATGTCCTGGGGATTGAGAGAGGAAGTGATGTCACTGTGGGAACTGCCCTGTGGGGACAAGGACTTCCGTCATCCTCTGCTCCTGCTCACAGTGACACTGATCTGGTAACGCCCCCGTCCTGGTCTGACCCTGCCATGGGCACCAGGCTCCTCTGCTGGGTGGTCCTGGGTTTCCTAGGGACAGGTGAGTCCTCAGAACACAAAGTAGTTTCATTTATTTTCTGTGTGTAGGCGTGTGTGTGTGTGTGTGTGTGTGTGTGTGTGTGTGTGTGCGTGTGTGTGTGATGACTACAAATGTTTTCCTTATTCTGTTGCCAAATTCTACTTCCACAGATCACACAGGTGCTGGAGTCTCACAGTTCCCAAGATACAGAGTCACAAAGAGGGGACAGGATGTAACTCTCAGGTGTGATCCAATTTCGGGTCATGAGTACCTTTACTGGTACCAACAGGCCCCGGGGCAGGGCCCAGAGTTTCTGACTTACTTCCAGAATGATGCTCAACGAGACAAATCAGGGCTGCCCAATGATCGCTTCTCTGCAGAGAGGACTGAGGGATCCGTCTCTACTCTGAAGATCCAGCGCACAGAGCAGGGGGACTCGGCCGTGTATCTCTGTGCCAGTAGCTTAGCCACAGCGTGGCACAGTCACCTCCTTCCTGTTCACAAACCTCGTCCTTCTCTCTCCTTGCAGCTACTAGAGACCCTTAGCAGAGGCCTCTCTTTCATCCTCACATTTCATGGGAAAGGAGTAGATTTGGACATCGGCTGTCCTTTGGGTAGAAAGAGACCACAGATTCATTCTTGAAACACAGTGACCGCAAATGTAGGTGGTGAAAACAATCACGGCCCACTGCACTCTAGGAGTCCTTGGAACCAGCTCACTTCTTCAAGTAAACAGTGGGTGTCTTAGCCTCGGCCTTCAGGGCAGACGTACACCTTCTAAAGGTATTGGAGGCTGCTGTGTTACCCACATACATGAGGTTGACAAGGGCAGAAAACATGCCTCTTCTTCATATGTTGGGACATCTGGCATTTGGAAGGTCTAAGGCTACATCCCCAGGAAGATCTTTCTTCGGAAGCTCTTCTATCCCTGTCACCTTGGAAGTTTCTGCAACAAAATATCAAACATCTCTTCCTATTTGAAGTAAAGGTCTTTGCAACTTTTGTGATCCTTACTTGATAAATACAATCATGATAACAATATGACTTCATTTCTTCTGCCTACTTTAAGCCACCTGTATCCTTTATTTTGTTTCCATTTGCCATTGCTGCTGTCCTGATAGACAGAAGCATGCATTCACCACTGCTGCTGGTTCACCTTGACTCGCTCAGGAAATCTAGTTTCTAGACTCTGAGTATTTTCACTGCTGTCCAACTCACTTGATTTGAAATAATTTTCCTGAGGTCTTTAACTCAATAAGTGTTTTATTTATAATATTGATCCTATTCCTTTTTATTTTATTTATCATATTATATTGTTATATAGTACTTGTTATAAATAGAAGTACAATGATTATATTTTAATAGAATCTTCCACCTGTCTGTGGGTGATGCTGCAGTTTGTATCTATGAAATCGAATGCACTGGTCAGAGCTGATGTGATTACGGATCATGGATTCCTGAGAGTCCTCGACATCAGACCACTTCTCCAAGTGTGGGACTCAGTGTCCCAGATGCAGCCATGAAAGAGGGGCCCTGAGACTTTCATATCTAGGTAGGGCATCGTAGTCCTTCCAAATTCACTGACCAGAAATTGTGGTGGTACAGACACCAAATTTCTTTCCCCAAAGAATGATGGTCTCCGGGAGGGAGTTTCTCTGGACCCATCTTTATTGTGCCATCATGAAATCCCTCCTTGCTCAGGTGCCCTGTCTCTTCTGGGACTGAGTAAGGCCAGGGCACAGATTGGAATTCCCTGTCTTCCTAGACCTTTTCTCTAACTGCTGCCACCTTCCTCCATGTGACTCCTGAGACACCTGGTCCTAACAGTGGACAAGCTCTGACACTAAGGCTGAACAGAACACCATCCACAGTTCTAAACGGTGCTGCAAGAACATGTTACAAAAGCAAGCAGGGCTTCCAATTTATACTGAGAATGAATACGCAAGAGGAGCAAGGAGCAGACGTTACTAATGAACAAATAGGAAGGAATAGGGTTTCTACTCTAAAGGAATCATTCTGTTGTCTTAAGGTAAGTAGGAGAAACATTTCATTGCAATTACTTCAAGTAAAAGGCAAGCCGCTGCCAACCAACCAGCACAATTCTTTGCTCTGTGATCTTGGCTGCTTCAGAGGACTCAGAGACCATTTCTCTGCACAAACGTCCCTTTGTCCATTCCAAGACCCAGGATCACACACTCTGATCCTATCATGAAAATAATCAGGTGTGCTATAGTTGCTGTGGCCTCATTTTTAGTGTGTTGAGTAGGAAGCATTGAAGAACTTTGAAAGCTTTGCTCTTGAGTCTAGGGATGTGCTGGAGTCAACTTGTATGACTCAGAAGAACCAAATAGGCGTAACTGTCACAGCTCCCTATTCAGTGAAGCCATGCTGGGAGATTGAAGTCTGCAATGGTGGGGATGCTGGGACAACCAAAATTAGGAAATGCTACCAGCCATGCCCCCACCTTCACAGACACCCAGTTTAGCAGCCCATCACTGGAGTATTTTCTGATGTCCCTGTTATGCCATGTCTTGTGGGGCCAAAAGGGCACTGAATTCACCTCCCCTCTACTCTTGTTCTTAGAAGCCATCATCTAAGTGCTCCTCAATTTTTCCTATTTCTATTCAACTCCCAAATTCTCTTGCTCTTTAGCTCTGTGTTTCCTACAAGCATGCCAGTCTGGAACATGGCATGTATTTTTAATGTAATTAATGGTATCACTAAACCAGTTCATTATTCACAAATTATCTTTCCTCACATGGAATATTCAGATGCTGGAGTCATTGGGAACAGAGAAGGCCAAGTAGCAACTCTAGGTTATGAACCACGTACAGCCCCGCTATTCTTCTGTGGCAATGAGAGGCATTATAATAAGGACTATTTTGCTTTGGAAACTAAGCAGGTCCACACCAGTTAGGAATGACTCTGCTTTTACTTTAGGCTGAGAGATCAGAAGGATCACAACATAACTATTCTCCTCTCGAAGACTAAGTATGGCCACTCTCCATCTCAGTCCCTGGAAGTTGTCCAGAGCTCCCTGAGAATCCCTGCTCTGGGGGCAGAGTCACCAAGGTTCATCCTTGCCAGCTCCCCACAGACTCCAGCAGGGCTTTCCTGCCAGGTGCAGGGCACAGGAATGGCTCTGCCTGTCTCTTAGTTAGAAGGAGACCGTAAAATAATGTTTGTATAAGAGGGACTGGAATTCTGGGTCTCCTTTAAAATATTTGACAAAATTTTCTTTGTTGTTTTATTTTGCCATCTCACCAATGAGGAGAGCAATCCCTTGGTAGTTATATTGTTTTTGGCACTTGGAAAGATTTTTGTGGTTAAGTCACGTTAAGAAATTGTGCATTTTTTTCCTGTTCACCTATAACCCAAGGCAGTGAAAAAACCAGCAAGAATTTTGAAGGCAGTCACTTCTGCATCCTATGATAAAGGTGTTACGTTTCATTGCCCACATCTAACTTTCAGTCTAGTGGAAATGAAAAGGCACAGTTAGGGGGCATGTGAGCATGCCATGAGAGAGGTCGATACAATTAAGAAGTCTGTGCCAATCTCTAATACTGTGGGATTGAAGGGGAGGGAGAGATGACCTCTCCTTCAGACCGTGCTGAACAAGGAGGGAGAGGGAGTTCACCCATGGGAAGCTGAGGAGGAGCAAATCCCAGGGGCATCTAACTCAGGGTGAAGCAGCAAAGCCTTGGAAAGGAAAATGGCCCAGTTCAGCTGTCACAGGAGAGAGGAGAAAGCAAAGTCATGTAATCCACAGTCCCCTGGCTGATTTGCTTCCTTATTACACTATTTTGCACCAGCGTGTCCTTGTCTCCCACTGCTCCTCTGCCTCGGCCAGAATCATCTTTTCCTTGTTTTTTTGCTCAGATTAGTGGATGCACATTGTACAAGCTGATCAGTTCCTGTAGCAACCCCTTTGCTAATCTTGGTTATATCCATCTTTATTTTCTGCATTAGGTACTGCTCCTGCCACCATTGCTTATTGCCTTGTAGGAAGTCTCTTTTTATATAATTCAATTTTACTTTTTATTAAGAAACATTTGACTTCACCTTTTGGTGATCTATGCTTTTGGGGTAACATTGTCATTTTTGGAGGACATTTTTGTTTATTTTTAGTGATTCAGATGAAATAATCTCTTTATACTTCAACGTCTGTGTTTTCTTCCTATTTTAAGCCAAATATTATTTCCTTTCATTCCTCTTTCTTTAGATGGTAGTATTAAGGGAGAAAAAGTCTATAACTGGAGCTATATGATAAGTGTTATTCAGAATGAGGTGAGATATTAAGCTTGGTAACTCAAAACAATAGTCTGGGTTAGAACTAATGTTGGAATTAGGGTTTAGGGAAGCCGCTCATAAAACCTGCTGGATGGAACTTCTGGAATATTCTCCCAGCTCACTCTGCAGACACTTCCCAGCATTCCTTGGGCCATTGAGAAGAAATAATGATGAAACTTCACTTACTGGCCACAAGATGGCACTGTGGTCCACTGGGATCTAAAGGGCCCTGGGGAGCCCGGGAGAGCGCTTAAGAGGGAAAGGGTTAAGAAAAATTAGGGCTTGGATCCCATGTTATGCAGATGTTGCAGCAGTTTTCAGTTATTGCTAGGCTAGGCTACCTACAGCTATGCAAGACTGGGGAAGTCCCTCTAATCTTTAATGAGATCTACAGTTGAGGAATTTTGGCCTGGTAGCCTTGATGCAGGTGCAGAGGAGCAACTGCCTCAGCAGAATAGGGAAAAGCGAGGGTGGGCTGTACCCTGAGCCCAGTGCGTCTCTGCTGCACCTTATCTTCCCTGCAGGTCTGGCCCGGCAACAGCTTTAACCTGCTTGAGTGATCTGGGATTCTGCGAGTTTATAAGTCATACTGATAACATCACCTTGGCTGAGATTCCACTGGACACCAGGCACGTGTTCTCTGCAGAAAAAAAAATATTGAGAACAAGTTCTAAAACACCTAAGTAAACAAACTACTGAAAGGCAATGTTAGTAGATGCCCCAAACCGTTAGTAGATGCACCAAACCGTGCTGTTAGACGTGAAGATAATCTACTAGTAAAATTATCGCACAGAGACTATAAATTAAGTCTCTAGTAAGTATTTGTGGGCATAGAACAGTGTTTGAGTCCTCTCAGTGTAGATTAAGGAATGAATTCAGCTATTATCTTGACTTTGGCTTGGATGAAAATCCATGAACTCCTCAACTGATTTTCTTGTAATATAGTACAGAATAATACTGAGCAAACATTTTATTTTTCTCCAGCCTGTATCCCTCCTTGGCACTAACAGGTAAAGCGGACACCTAGAGGCAAGGTTTCTTTAGCTGGGATCCATTAACTGCGGGACTGTGAGGTCCATAGCTGGACTTTACAGGGAGTGCAAACCCCACGTGCAGGGATCCCCACATGTCTGTGTTGTGCCCAACTCCCCTCTGTGAGGCCGCCAAAGAGGGAGGCCCGGGTCACCCAGGACCCCACTCACAAAGCGGGGAACAGGCCTCTTGCTTGGCAAAAAAAAATCAATTCACCAACTGGCCCATCTATTGAAAGCCAAAATGAAAGGGAAGTCTCAGTTGTGAGAGTGATGAATGCCCAGTTTCCCAAGTTATGAAATGTATAGCAGCTCTTGGTTCTCAGAATGATTTCAATAGCATATAAAGATATTGTAAAACGCTTTTGTTTGTCTATAACTTTCCTTGATATTGATCCCCAGTTGTTTTTCAGCCCACGCATCAGTTGAGCTTATTTTGATGCCAAATTTCAGTGTTGCCACTTCAGTCAACGAGCACTTCTCATATTCTCCATAATTTACACAGGTATGTGTGTTCCTGTCTTTTCTTGTTTTTGTGTGATTCATTTTTAAATTGGGCTGTACAGAATACAAGCATACATTTGTAAATGACTCCCATATTTTATGCAATTTAGCTGTTTACTTTTTAGTAATAATTTTATTTAAGGTATAATTAATAGAGAGT